GGGCGATTCTGGGAGAATCGCCGAAAAGAACTGGCCCTTAATCAGAGAAACATCAAAAGTTTTCCAAGATTCAACCACTAGCTAGGAACGGTCAAACCCGCCGCTTTGACCGCATTTCGAGACGGGCATAAAAATTCAAAAAAATCAAAAATTAGAAAACCTTCGCATTATGTCATTATATGTGACCAAGTATCCAGGAAAAATAATAAACTTATAATATGACAATAATTTTAAAAAAGTGTTCTTAGAAATGAGCTATCATGCGTGAAGATTCAGGGTTTTCAAGCCAAATGGTCAATCTTATGACCACATTCATGACATAGTTTATTCAAATGATCTCATATTGTGCACAAGGGTGAATCTTAGAATTCCAAACAATGTTGTCTAAGGGAGTTTTCATTTTCTTTGCACGAAAAATTCATTTTCCATTTTCCGAGTGCCCAAATTGAGTTCTTTTTGTGAAGGGCCTACCATATATTTGTTGCAAAATTGGACCAAATCAATTTTTTAAAATACTAGGCCATATTTGATTCACAATTGGCCAAATGGTTGGGTGTCAAAAGCCTTGATCCACCTTTGATGAAAAAGATACATTCCCGCCAATTTAGTAGGAAGCGAGTCAAATTTGAACTGCAGTTGCCTCATAGTTTGCTCTTTATTTTTTTCAAAATTATGTACATCAGTATCTATTTAATCACAGAAAAATCAAAAAAATTCCAAGATTCAACCACTAGCTAGGAACGGTCAAACCCGTCGTTTTGATCGCATTTCGAAACGGGCATAAAAATTCAAAAAAATAAAAAAAATTGTAAAACCTTCACATTGTGTCATTATATGTGACCAAGTTTTGAGGAAAAATAATAAACTTGTTATACGGCAATTATTTTTAAAAAGTGTTCTAGGAAATGAGCTATCATGCGTGAAGATTCAGGGTTTTCAAGCCAAATGATCAATCTTATGGCCACATTTATGACATAGTTTGTTCAAATGATCTCATATTGTGCACAGGGGTGCATCTTGGAATTCCAAACAATGTTGCCTAAGGAAGTTTTCATTTTCTTTGCACGGAAAATTCATTTTCCATTTTCTGAGTGCTCGAATTGAGTTCTTTTTTTTTGCGGGGTGAATTGAGTTCTTTTTGTGAAGGACCTACCATATATTTGTTGCAAAATTGGACCAAATCAATTTTCTAAAATACTAGGCCATATTTGATTCACAATTGACCAAATGGTTGGGTGTCAAAAGCCTTGATCCATCTTTGGTGAAAAAGACAAATTCCCACCGATTTAGTAGGAAGCGGGTCAAATTTGAACTACAGCTGCCTCATAGTTGCTCTTTATTTTTTCAAAAAATCATTTCTAGGTAAATAAATATCTATTTAATCATAGAAACATCAAAAGTTTTCCAAGATTCAACCACTAGCTACGAACGGTCAAACCCGCCGTTTTGATCGCATTTCGAAACGGGCATAAAAAATCAAAAAAACAAAAAAAATGTAAAACCTTCGCATTGTGTCATTATATGTGACCAAGTTTCCAGGAAAAATAATAAACTTGTAATACGGCAATTATTTTTAAAAAGTGTTCTCAGAAATGAGCTATCATGCGTGAAGATTCAGGGTTTTCAAGCCAAATGATCAATCTTATGGCCACATTCATGGCATAGTTTGTTCAAATGATCTCATATTGTGCACAAGGGTGCAACTTGGAATTCCAAACAATGTTGCCTAAGGGACTTTTCATTTTCTTTGCACGGAAAATTCATTTTCCATTTTTTGAATGCCCAAAATGAGTTTTTTGTGAAGGAGCTACCATATATTTGTTGCAAAATTGGACCGTATCATTTTTCTAAAATATTAGGCCATATTTGATTCACAATTGACCAAATGGTTGGGTGTCAAAAGTTTTGATCCACCACTTGTGAAAAAGACAAATTTCCGCCGATTCAGTAGGAAGGGGTCAATTTTGAACTGCATCTACCTTATAGTTTGCTCTTTATTTTTTACAAAAATCCTTTCTATGTATATAAGTATCTATTTAATCAGAAATACATGGTTTGTTGGCGATACATCGAGGTTTGGATGGTGGACAAGGGCCCCAACTCCAGAGCACGTAAACTCGCATGCCCGCCGCGTGGTCACCGCGTGGCTGTGGCGTTGCCATGTGTTCTGGAAGGCCTAGGCATGCCTAGGGGGTTGGGTACTCCCCAGGTAGGTGCTAGGAAGAAAATTACAACATAAGATTCTCACGAGGAGACCGAACTATGCTCAAACATGAATTAGCAGCCAAGTGGTTGATTAGCAATACGGGAAATGCACGTGGCCAATGGGCGTGAGTTTTGGCTGAGGATGATCATATACTAAGAAGACTGTCTTCACAATTTTTTAGCTCAAAAGGAGGAGCCTAGGTTGTACTTGCTTTGCAAAGTACCACACTGGACAGAAATATGAATGTTGAAGCTGGGCCCAAAATAATGAATGGATTGAGCTGAAATTTGGTGGGATGGTTATTTGGGCATAGGAAAGCACTGTAGAAAATTGATACCATTTGGACATGCCAAAGTGGTACTTCCTTCACAATGCTATTCTCTGGACAGAAACTTGGGAAAATTAGCGAGAGAAATTGGATAAATGAAATGAGATCAAATTTGGTGTAGGTAAGTTACATAGGTACGGTCATGCCCTGGTAAATTTTCAGATCATTTGGGTAAGCCTAGCTAGTACTTACTTCACAAAGCTTCTCTCGAGATAGAAACTTTGGAAATTTTCTGAGACAGATTTACCAGGAAAATGGAGCTGAATATTCTAATGTGGCAATGATTTGGGTATGGAAGAGTGCCCAAAAAGTTTAAGGGTAATAGGAGGGATCTGGATAACACTTGCTTTGCAATGTGCCAATCTGGCCATAAAATATAAATTGAACCTGGGCTCACATAGATGATTTGACTGAGCCACAATTTGGAGGAGGGTGATAATTTGGGCATATG